CAATTTACTAACTCAGCATTCCTTCTAGAGATTTCTAGTTGTCACGTGCTGGCTTCTCCATCGTGTACTTCTTACGCCTTGTATACGTGAATTTAATTGGGGGCTTATCATTTTCCTAGTCAGATTATGAATTATTTGTATAATTTGCTTTACCTAGCTGATTTTTAATTCATCATATTTGTTTATTTCTTCTTACCCTATACGCAGTTTGATTCCTATTTTCATTGAGATGTGAACTACTTGGGACTAACAACCCGTAAATTTTAGTTTTTCTACACTGCATTATATTCTCCATCAGTTTTAGTATAATTAAGTTCTACAGATAATCTCTCTCAGCAGCTTCAGCAACAAACCTTCGTGGCTTTTCATTACCCTACAACCATTTTCTTCTTTCTACCATCAAGAACAGATCAGTAAGTAATATACTCTGAAGGTTATTGGTTGTTGGTGCCGATGTTTCACTGAGGAGTTGAAGTGAAACTTCAAAATCAAGAAAACGAGGAAAAGAAAAGGAGATGTAAATGATAAAGGAAATCTGTTGATTCCTTGTGGTAAGAAAAGATAGAGGGGTGGGTGGGTGTGGATTTTGTGATGTTGATGAATACAAAAGATTTCATGTCATGTTCTTGACTGGACAGAAGAGCAAAGAGAGGACTTGGTGGTAATGTACAATGATGAAAAGACCTAATCTGTACTTCCTGACTGCAATGCTAACTTCTAAACCTACAAGATTGGAGAAAAGAGAAATTTAAGCTCCCCAGGATTTATTAGTGTGTAAGCACTGTGAGCCTTTTTCAAAATGTTGTTAACAGCATTTACGGAATAGGAAAAGAGCATATAGAAATTTTCTAAATTTTAGAAGGACCGAAAATCCCCACTTTAATCACAATTCAATGTTTTTTGACCCACTATTGACCAATTTCCTAATTACCTGTGCACTAGGCCCAATATGAGTTGGGTCACTTAGCCACGTTTCATCTTTGGCGGTTTATGCCCCGTACTCAAGTTTTGATATCGAACTAACCCATTGGTGCAAATAGTTTATTGGAGAGAATTGGGTGATTTAGGCCCCAGAGCTAGAAAGACTGATTGTGATTGGAATCCAGTCTACTCTGCACTATAATAGAGAAAGAGATGAGGAAGACATGGGCCATATGGTCGAAATTTTCATGTTTTACCATGAAAAGCGAACATTAACTACAAGTACCTAATTTTATGTAGCAACCTGATGCAAAAATGACTAATGAAAGCAAGCCCATAACTCTGAATCAGGGATTTTGTAAAGGATAATCAGTATAAGTAGGATGGCTCATAAGATGTTTCTTTAAAGCGTAAAACTATCGTGGGTAAAGTTTTCATTTAATCTCATGCCGTCACGCATCAATGGAATGGTTGAGATTTTAATACATAGTGTTGTTGCTTTTCTCACTCTATTAGAACCACGGACACTGGTTTCACCCACCGTAAATTTAGTATTATGATACTTTATGTTAACCAATGCTTTTCCATGCGACAATTATGATTTTCTTTTTATGAATTAAGCCCCTGTTTATCATCCCTTTTTTTCCATTATTTTTTTTACAGTGCTCATGTTTAACCACACGTTCTTCATTAAAATAATATTACACGCAAGCTAAAAATATTTCCTTCTCTTTTAACTACACATTCTTCATCAATCTACTATTCCGTAAAACACTTTTTGAAATTAAAGGGGCTCAAACAGGGCCTAAAACTGATGAGTGATAACATCATGACTTTTCTTGGTCGAGTCATGTTGGTTCATTAATGCTCCTCTCTCACCTTATATTTGTCACGCAAAAATCACTTTAATTGGTTTTGCTCACATCCTTTCTCATAGGTCGTTGCAAATATGGTGCGGACCTTACAAATCAACTAGCAGCTTCCTTGCAGAATGTTCTTCCGACTTGTGGGAGCCTCAGACTATCATTTTCTCGTCGAACACCCAAAACTGTATGTATTGCTTCTCATAGTCCCATATGGCAATTTATCTAAGGGTAAATGCTCATTTGCGCTGTAACAAGCAGGTTTCTGATATCCTCGTGGGTGAACTTGGCAAGCATCCTAAAGTCTACATCTGGAATGGTGAAGGTACTCGTTACTCTTTCTAATTATTCTTATTTTATCACATAAGAAGTAATGTTCAGGCCTGCGGGGTTGCCACTAATGTTTCATGTACTTGTACGCCCAAGTTCAGCCAAAAGGGACATATGACACATGGTAGAATACTTACCAGTCAATCAAAACTTCAATCTCTCCGAAGGTTGAAAAAACTGGTTTCGAAAATTTCTGATTTTACACATTCTAACAATGTTGCATCAGTTCATCACATTGTTCCCAATTCTATGTATCACATGATATGAATCTTTGCCGCTCTTTTCAGATCCAAATCCACACATGGGACATCTGGCTTGGGGTGATGCTTTTGTCATCACAGCTGATTCAGTGAGTATGTTGAGTGAGGCCTGCAGCACAGGGTATGTAACAATTACGTCTATGATTGCAAAAACTATCGTTTTTAAAAAATAAAATTTACAGTTTAATATTCTGTTTCCGTCTTATGTTTTTGAATTGCAGGAAGCCCGTTTATGTATTTGGGACTGAGCTGTGTACATGGAAGTTTGCAGATTTCCTCAAGTCCTTGCAGAATAGAGGAGCAGTTCGACCCTTCACTGGTAAAGAAAATGTGAGTTGATTTTGCCTTATTTTGCTATTATTCATGGACGTAAATTTAGAGAAGACAGTTTTTGTTTTTTCTTCCTCTCTGTCTCAAAGATTACGAGCTCGCTATACATTCGAGATAATGAAACCAAGAGAAGTCTAATCTGAACTCAAAACAGTTCCATACCCCACTTAATAATTTTAGTTTCTTGTTTCCGCTCAGGATTGAGGTTCAGCTATCTTGTTCTTACTCTAAGAATACTTGTGAACTTACACGAGACCACGCTTTTCACTTGCAAATATTGCGTCTTCAACTGAAGATATAACTTATAACACTTCGTTTTCATTTATCAAAGATGACCAGTAAGTGAAATCTTATGGATGAAAATTCCACAAAAAGTCGAATTCAAACAAATATGCATAACATCATAGTAGCACATAATGCAAAGTTCACATTATCCTAATTTGAAACTTGCTGTCCAGATTGCTGAAAGTTGGAATTATTCTCCACTAAATGATGCTAAGGAAGCAGCCGACGAAGTTGTGAAGGCCCTTGCAGAACGTAGGTGGAGATTGCAGTGATAACGTGCTTTCACATAACACACGTTTGGTATGCAGGACACCACACGATAGGTCAATACAAAGAAAAATATATAACTTCTTTAGTCCGGTCGAGGATACCAAGCATGGCTTAGCGGAGCCAAATGGAATTTTGTTTCTTGAAATACATATGTTGTACCTTAGGCTAACAATAGAAAGCATAATTGATAAATTATGGAAATTGGGAAATAATAATCTTGATTTTCAAATCAAGGTGATTTGACCATTGTTTGGAAAATAATTAGGGTTTTTTAGTTACTGCGATATGATTAAGCTCATATTTGACAACCATTCTCCAAAAGCTCCTTCAAAAAAAAAAATAATAATAAATAAATAAATAATATATTTTGTACGTAAACCTAAATTTTTTTTCCCACTTTTTAATTACATGTTTTGCAAAAAATCACTATTTCAAAACTCAGTTTTTCCAAAAAGCTCTTTTTAATGGGTATCAAATATAGATTAAATGTTGCATTGTGCAAGGAAGATGAACAAATATATATTTGCAACTAAGCAATTTCTTAAATAAAGAAAAGCAAATGATCAACCAGATTGAACAAAAGCAATGTGGGAATGAAACCCCGAAGTTTATCGCACATGATGCATATTGTAAATAAAATATATACACACACATAGACCAAATATGTTAGTTCTTGGTGGATTAGAATGTATATATTGACTAATTATGCAAACAATTTAATTTCTTGATATTCTTAGTCCACCATTTCTTTAATTTTATGTCCATGTATAAACCTCCCCCAATTTCTGCGGTGTGCTGTCTTTGAGATTCAAATAATAAGTTAGCAATAACTCTTCTTACCCCATTATCTCTAAAAACCAATGCTTCTCACTAATCACCATATAAAGATCCATCTTATGCCTCCATTGGCATTCTCATTACAATCTCTGAGCTCTACTAGCAATTAAAGAAAAAAGCAACAAATCACTCTCTCACAAAAAGTATGGTGAAAAATGAGTTGACTACCATTGATATGGGGGAGACTAGTAAAGAAAGGAAAGGAAAAGCACCCCTTTTGGGAGTGGAGCATGCAAGAGGAGGATATAAGAGAGGCATTAGCATATTCGACTTGATACTTCGAATAAGTGCCTTTGCATCAGCTTTAGCAGCAACGGTTGCAATGGGAACCACTGAACAAACACTTCCCTTCTTTACTCAGTTCTTCCAGTTCCAAGCAAGCTATGATGATCTCCCAACTTTCTTGTAAGTGCCCTTACGCTGGAATTTTGTTATGGTGTTGAACCACTTTATTTAAAAACTTTATGTCAGAGTCATAAACTTTTTTCTTGAACTCAAACATCTAATATTAATTTAAACTACCTCGTCTAAAAGTTTAAACTGATAACTAGTAGACTTATTTATCTGAATTACGTCACATGCAACTATTGTACATACTTTGTAGGTTCTTTGTGATCGCCATGGCAATTGTCATAAGCTACCTTATTCTCTCCATCCCCTTCTCCATCGTGTGCATTGCACGCCCTTTCGCAATAGGCGCAAGGCTCCTACTAATTATCTTTGATATTGTAAGCTTCTAACATATAATAACAGTTACAAAGAATAATCACGTCAAGTTTTGATTAAAATCCTTTGGTTGTTCATTTGTTGCAGGTAATGGTTACTTTGACTACTTTTGTAGCAGGTTCCTCCGCAGCCATTGTATATTTGGCTCACAATGGGAATTCAAATGCAAACTGGCTTGCAATATGTCAACAGTTCGATGATTTCTGTCAAAGGTTTAGCCGAGCTATGGTGGCAGCCTTCATCACGGTGGTTCTCCTCTTTTTTATGGTGGTGCTATCAACTGTTGCTCTCAGAAAACACTAATTTACAAGATTCTTTTATAGATTGATGTATTTTTCACTTTTTCCTTTTTTTGTTATTTTTCTGGTTCATAATTTCTATGGTTGTTTCGTGTTTTGTGGAATAAATGTAAATCACATTTGTATGTTGTTAATTTTCATACAGATTTGATATGCTACAAAGCCCTACGTACATAAAAGGGAGAGGATGTAGATGTCAATATTTAAAGTTCAGGGACCTGTATGCACAAAATTTATAGCTTAGGAGCCATAGCTGCAATTTTCTCCAAATTCTGACAAAGTTTTGTTTTACTATAGGAAAAATTATACTAACAGTACCAAATATTTCATTTGTACTATCCATTGTACCAAACATTTCAGAAATTCTAACTTGGAGTCCAAATGGATGGTTCCGTTAATCTAACCATTAGTGGCCCTAACAATTAATGTTGACCAAATTCACAAAGGGCAAGATGGTAAATTAACTATTTTTACATAAATAATTTAACAAATTTTAAAAATAGAAATAAAACCATCATCTCCTTCCCATCCCCACCTAACTATAAATCTTTCCTGGAAAAATCCTGCCATCCGCCAGCCACCGTCAACCTGCCCATCGTCGACGGTCACCCCTACCATCGTCAATCACCGTCGTTGTCTCAATTGAAGACAACACGATTTCACCTGAATGCATATCCGTTGCCATTGAAACTAAAAAGTAACAAATTCCCAAAAAATAAAATAAATAAATGAATAAAAATTCAATTACAACTGCTAGCTACCATCGTCATCGTTGCCTCAACCTCCATCCCCAACACCACCTCAAAACCAAGCATCACAATAGCCTCAAAACTAGCAATTTCCTCAAGCATTTGGAGAGAAATTGAACATTCAACTCCAACAGCTCCCTCAAGCCATCGAACATTCACACCATCACCACCATCTAACTGCTACCACAACCTTCGTTTTTCCTCACCACTTAAATTCCCTAGAATCACCATTTACACCACAACAATAACAAAACCTCAAAATCAAATTTGATTTCAAAATTAGTTTTGATTTTCAAATTTGAAGAAAAGAAGTCCGTGACACTGTCATTTTTCCTTTATTGGGTGATAATGGCGATAGCGGTGGCGTTAGACTGCATGGATGACTGTGCCGATCGATCGCTTGAGTGGTAGTAGGAATGTTAACGAGCTGAAATTTAAGGCTGAGGCTCGGCTTGAGTAAAAATGCTTCGAGGTTTTTTTGGTTTAGTCAAGTCAAGCTTTTACTAGGCTAAAAAATTTAGGCCTTATCAAGCCGAGTTGAGCCGATTCATTTTTTCAATAAACAGGCATCTAAGTAGCTGCCTGTGTGTTGCCTCAAAGGGCAGCATGTTGCTGCCTTCGTTTCATTTTTTTAGGTTGACTCGTCGAGGGTCGAAAATGGCCCAAGCAGACGAATCACACGGGCTTTTTCGAGCCTTTTGGGACGACAGCCAAAGCTTCGAGTCGGGTCGGCTCGGACTTTTTTTTGCCCAACCATGGGCGGCTTGAGCCGGCTAGCAAAATTGACACTTCTAAATGGTGGTGGCGACCACGACGACAACAACGACTTTGAGGTAAGGGCGATTGTATGGGGATGGGGAAGAAAGGGTTGAGTTTGGATGGGTGGTTTATTGTTTAATTACTTTAATTATATACACACACTCGCACATTTTACCTTTTAAGAATTAGTAAGCATTTGTTCAGACCGTTGACTTATAGTTAAAAGATTAGCAAAAATCATGCATTTGGACTTCAAATGAGATTTTTTAAAAGGTTTGGTACCGTGGATGAGACAAATAAAAAGTTTGTGTCAAGTCTGCTACTAAATGGAAGGTTTGGTACCGTGGTTGCAATTTTTCCTTTACTATATTTGTTGGCGAAAATCACAAGGTCAATTTCGTCAATCAGACAACTGCTCTGTCCACCGCCGCGAAGCAATCGGAACGATAATCTGAGTCTGCTGCTTCGTATATATATACACATATCACATAATCAGTGTTATACTGTTGTAGAAGATTATAGTAGTAATACTATATTAGCAGTAGAACTTACTTCAGTTTAGTGTTGCCGATAAAAATGTCGTCATCGTCGGTTCTAGGATCTCAGGGCGCCGGCGTCGGGGGGAAACTGATGCCGCACCTGGATGAGCAAGTAACCAAAACGCTCAACTTCACTGTTCTGCAGAGAATGGACCCATTCATCAATGAGATTCTTATGACGGCCGCTCACGTCACCTTCTACGAGTTCAACGTCGATGCTACTCAATGGGTCTCCCCTTTTATCTTCTTCTTCATTGTTACTGTTTCTGATCGAACTCGCTTTACGGCGGGACATTGAATATTTCTTTTATGAATGAAGTGTTATTTTAATTTTTTTTCCCGTTTGGGCGTTGAAAAAGATGAGTCGTGAATAAACTAAATTCAGATGTAATCTGTATTAGAAGTATTAAGGCTGTCTACTTGTAATTTCTCAGCATTGTTGAATTAGTTTTTGATTTTCTGTGTTCAAATTTACTTGCAGAGCCGCAAGGATGTTGAAGGGCCTCTCTTTGTAGTCAAGAGGTAGCCAATTTTTATGTGTCTCAGTAATTTTTTCCTACTCTAGAATACTTAAATAGGCTTTGAGATTTAACTTGCCACAATTTTCTTGTGGAAGTTGAAGTGACATGAAAAACCATAGCAACCAAAAATGCAAAAACCACAGGCAATTTTACTTTATGGGAATTACTTTGAAGATCAAAGATCTATATATAGCATGACACCTGAGTTTGCTGTGTTTTTTAACTGTATTTTATGGTGCAATTCTTCTTGTATCTTGCAACTAGGAATAAGTTACATTTCCATTACTTTGTTCACTGTTCGTCCTTTTTTGGGTTCCGAAAGAAGTAATTTACTGATTTTTGTTCATGGTATCATTTTAGGAACACCCAGCCACGGTTCCAATTCGTTGTTATGAATAGGCGGAATGAAGGTTTGGATCTTTTTATTCTCTTGATTGATGTTGATGCATTTGTTATTCTGTTCTGTATATATTTGGTTGATGAATGTTTGTATGTATGTGGTAAAGACTACTATTTGCTAATTTTGGTGAGCTCTAAGTAAATATGTTCTATAACCCCTCTAGAATCAAGACTACTATATACTAATTTCTGAGAGTTCTAAGTAAATTTGGTTGGGACATGGAATGGGAGGGAGATGATTAATAGAAGTGGAAGATAAGATGTCATTCTTCTGGATTATGATTAATCTATGCTTTGTGCTTTCATGGGAAAATTGCTACCTGCTCTCATTCTTTTGAAAGGATTTTGATTGTTTTCATTGTGATCAGAGGCTGTCATCTCATGCAAAGTTGCTGGCTTTACCCTGTTGTAGGAGTAATCTAGGGTCTATGTTTTATGGCTTAACGGTTGAGATAATAAATTGACTGATATATCCTTTTTATTTTTATTTCTCTGACTATTTGCCTTTTAAGATGAGAAGAAACTAAACTTCTTCTTTTTCCCCATCCAGGGGAGTGATGGTTAGCTTGTTAAGGGATAAATCCCACGATTATGGAAGAAATATATGACTTAACATATTAGTGTTTGGATTACTCTTTTTAACAAGGTTGATCAAGTTAAGATGGAACTCAAGACGTAACATGTTATCATAGCGGACAAAGGTCATTGCTTCAAGTCTCACCGCCATTGTACATGCTCGAAGCTTTGATATGAAAAAGGAATCCGGCCCATAGTCTATTTAAATGATATACATGTAGCCCTCTCTATCGAATTAAGTTTTTAGATTAAGTGATTCAATTTGATATTAGAGACCAACAAGCTCAAACGAAGCCAACAAGCTCAAATGAGCAATTTAATCCGTCTAAAGCTAAAACGAGATATCGGATTCCAAAATTGGTATTCTCAAACACACCATTATCTTACCATTTCATGTTATGGGATAAAAATCCACATCGACTATATATCAAATAATTAACTAACATATGGTTTACTTCTGTTAACAAGGTTCACCATTTAAAATGAAATATCAAAACTTTAACATAGGATCTGAGTAGGCAAATAACTTGAGTTCAAGTCTAACTGACACCTATTTAATGAAATTGTACAAGTGAGAAGCTTTGCTTGGGAAAAAAATTGAACACTCATCTATAAGTGAAGGGGCATGTTGAAAACAAGATCTGAATTATATACATGTGGCTCTTTAACAACTTAATCTTTTACATGAAGTGGTTTAACCAAACCTATCAATGTTTTTGAGAGCCTTACATTACTGTATTTTGTTGACCATACTGTAGGGATAATTCTACCCCACAGGTCTGAGGTCACACTCTCTACAAAAAGTAAATCAACTGACTGCAATGCTTTATTTTACATTTTGCCCTTTTGAAAATTATAATTTTACAAGTATTGAGGATGAAAGATATACACTAGCATGTACAAGCTGCATATTTTGATACTCAATTTGACGCCATATGCCCAAATTGCTTGGTAGTTCACTTCATCTGTTTGTGTTTTGAAAGGTTGCTTGTTTGCAGCTTATTAAGGATCAAAGAAATTTTAAAAGCAAGGTTTAATTTATTTTTTGTGATTTTAAGTAATAATGTTGTTAGTTGAATGCCTAAATAATATACCTATCTATTTTAATGACTTTTTGCTTATTGAGGAATAATTTACATCCAAAATGTGCTAGTAAGAAAATGATATCCAAATCATGCGGCTGGATTCGGATGCTGCTCTCTGGGAGCTAATTCTCTGTTGACTTGTTCCTAGATTTGCAAACTGTGTCTTTACATAATCGTTGTAACAACAGAAAATCTTGTGGAGAATCTCTTGCAAAATTTTGAGTTTGAAGTCCAACTTCCATATCTATTGTATCGCAATGCTGCACAAGAAGTCAATGGTATTTGGTTCTACAATTCACGTGAATGTGAGGAAGTTGCAAATCTCTTTACTAGGTACAAAAATTTGTCTTGTCTTGTATTTTAAACCATTATGTCGTGCATTGTTTGTGCTCAGTAATCTATAATTATATTAAAGTATCACATCAATGGAGAATAATTTTTTGGACGATTTTAACACTCTATAATTCAATTATTTTAATAATACCTTAATTTTTGCTTTTCGATATGTAATAAATATTATATAATTATTGTCGTTTATGAAATTTGTGTTATTAATTTTCAATTAATTAATATTCTGATTAATCTACATTCAATAAATTTTCACTTGATAAATCTTGAATTATATGAATCTAGAGTTATTTTAAATGAATTTATTCATATTCATGTATCTAGAAATTTTAATGGGTGTTTAAATTTATATATTAACAATTAATTTTTATATATCAAATGTAATATAAAAAGATTGCTCATTTATAGTATTTCATCATTACAAAAAGTTTGAATCATAGAAATTAATTTTTGAGAGTACGATTTTCTTCTCTTAAATTTCCATGCTAAATATTATTTTCTTTAATTTGTCCGAAACTCATCAAATCTTCCAACAAATTGATACCAAATATTACTTTTACATTACTTATAAAGTATTTTAGAATAATGTGAAATGCACGTTCAACTTTGACTAGTATTAATAAAATTACTACTATTAGCTGTTATTGATTTCTCCAGTTGGTTTTAGAAAAAGAGTTAACTTCGTATTTCTAGGATTATATGTAAACAGTTCTGTGCCCCATCTTGTGGAATCCCCTTTAGAGAAGCTATTGTGAAAACTGTTGCTCCCTACCAAAGAAAAACCCTCAAAGAACTGAACAAATTATTTAGGAAACTGATAAAAATTATAATGAAGGGTCTTAGTACTGCAAATTCGATTTTCTGGAGACAGAAACATGTCAATATAGGATGAAGTGTGGGTTTTCGGATATTGTGGATTTAGAGGTACTTATTACTGATCATCTTTCTAACTGAATGAATTTTTACTTTGTTAGCTAAGATCTTTGAGTAAAATAACAATGTCAGCAGCAGTATCATAGATCCTAGGTACCAAAGAAAGGGTTCATCTATCAGATTGAGATAATTAAAGAATATGGCTTTTCTATGAAGCAGAATCTTTGATAGTGTATTATTAAGTCAACTGCACATGCTATGAATGTCCCTGTACACATGTATATGTTTCTCTATACTATTGTTGCAATTCTACATTTCATTCTTGAAAGAATGGATGGACAAAAATTTAGAGTGGATGACATCAATAATCGATAGTTATTGCATTAGGTAGGCTTAAGCAAATATTAGAAACCCTAGAGACTACACATAGCTTGTTTGACTTTATGGCTTAGACCCTAATTTTACTTAAAACCAAATTAAATGGTTAGCTTATACTTTAGGATGCACGTTCATGGCTAGAAAGTCAATTAGATATGGCATAACTGCTAATAAGTTCAAATTGAAAATATGCACTCACAAGCTATATATATATATATTTTTTTTTTTTTTTTGGGAAAAGTTGGAAAGTAAATAGGCTAATGACAAGCAATAGGATCCGGGGAGAGCCCAAGCCATCAGTGAGATACCTCTTTAGTTAGACTCTATTTGGAAGAGCTAAAATTCTTTCCTACTCTTTGATCTTGAAAACGTTGGTTAGAAAACAAGTAATTGCCCTTTTGCTACCCTTAATTGTCCAAATTGAGAACAAACTAATGCGTCTTTCTATCAAAGCACCACGTCCTAAGCAATATATGATCAATGGACATTATTTTTCTTCCCAAGTATCACAGGTATGTCTAATAAGCACAAATTATTGTGAAGATGACTTTTGATTACTTTATTCCATTTAGCTGCCTTATATGCATTATCTGTAGACATTTTTCAGATGAATAGCTTATGTGGTATTAACAACTTGTATGTCTTAACCTTTTCTACAGGATACTGAGTTCTTATTCAAAGGTTCCTCGAAAGCCACTAGCATCCTCAAGCAAAAGGTATCTAGAAACTATCTTTAAGAATTTCTCTATTCTGTGCTCAAGTTGTAAATCTCTACCTGAATATTCTAGCCTAACTATTGAGTCACATCAACTTTCTTAACAATTCCTCGGTTTCATGTCGTGGAAAGATGATTGTTCTCAATTCTTATCCTTACCATTAGCTTCTATAACTATACTCCATCAATTTAAACATGCATGTGCTGGACTGACTTGGCGCGATAGTTCCAGGCTGTGGCAAATCTAGGATCGAAGGTTAACTAGAACGGATGTTGACTGTTGACAATCAACGATCGTAATAGTGAGGTCGTTTGTTAATATTTTATTAAATAATATTAAAACTTCTTCAATATGTATGTAAATGCACTATAACTACCAAAAAGACACTCAAAAGTAGAAATTCATGGCATCAAATTAATTCAGAGTTTTCTCACCACTTAACAGTAGAAGACCAATATTAGTCTTACACCACTCTTCATAATAAAGACGCTAGCTTTGCTCATATCGGTACCTTGGATCAATCTAGATTAAGAGCATAAGAATCAAATCCAACTTCACAAAATTCTTATAATTAGAGAGTCATTATCAAATAAAGTATATAGTATCCAATAGCAACAATACATAGCGTGCAGTTAACAATAGATATTTTGAACTCCAGCCCAGAGAAGAGTAACTCACAACCTCAATCCAGTGTTGAAAAGCCAACTTTTGTGCCTTGGCATCTTTAGACAAACCCTTGCCTTGTTGCCCAGCTGGCCACATATTTAGTCAAACATAAATCAAATAATCGATATCTTTTTTGGTAATACGACCAAATGTTTAGTCTTATTGTCTTTAGCCCTTTTCATTTTTCAACTTTTTTCTTCAAATTAAAAATTTCTTTAATTAATTACAAAAAGAAATCACATTTTTTTACCTTTGAAACATTCAAACTGATGTGATTCCACTGCGATGCTGCTGTTTCTGGCTTCAAGAATTTGTTAAAGGATATAGTTCTGTGATTTGATCGTGCATAATCTTTCGCTTGCCACCTAAATATTAACAAAAAAATATAGATAAAACTTTAGAAAGCATTCTAAAATTTAGTAATTTATGTTTAAAGAAAAGAATACTTGAGTTCTTCAACAACTACAGCTGAGTCTGTGCGCCGAGTACGACAACCCTGGTAACTGGAGACTCCACTTCATACAAATCGCATGATAGCAAGCAAGAACAGTTTCCTTTTACAATTAAGTGATTTGGAGTTTTGGACCATTTGTTGTGGGTATTGGGTAATCAAAGATATATGGATTGACCTAATGTTTTTAAATAAGTGGAAATTAATCCTACCCTATTTTTAGAGATCATTATTCTAAAAACAGGGAGGAGGTTTCATTATTCACAAATTAGATATTTCATATTTAAATATTTAATATACAATTTTCATCCTAAAGCTTAATTAATATTCTACACCCACCTCTTTTTTCCTAAGATCATTTCCATCATTTTCTCCCTCCCTTCATCTTCTCTCGTCTCATTCTCTACTAGTGCCACGTGCTTGATGTAACGTGATTTATACAAGTGTACGGTGTCAAGTTTTGTAATATAGTAATGAAACGAAAAGTGTCAAACCTACAGGGATTGATATTCGAATCCTACTGAATACTATAATTGGTTCAGCTTTCACTTTATTTAGATAATCATATTTTTGAATCAATGTTTTTGTATTAATCTAATGTAGATGAAATGAACAATGCAATTAAAATGAGGAAACTCTAAGGATTAAATCAATTTATGAAACCCTAGGGAATGATTTCACCGTATTATCGACAATGTTATTCAACCTCTATAGCTATTTACATCAATTCTTTCTAACTTTATAGGCAAGAACCCCATATTAATTTTATTCCCTCTTTCAGGTGTCGAGTATGACTTATCTCTATATTTTAATCCCAATATCTCTACTCCGAATTAGACATATAGAAATTATCAATGCACATGGTTCTTAATTTGAATTAGGCTCAAAGATTTCGTACTTTCTCTCGAAACCTACAAAATCTAGGTTATGTTATTCTTAGATCACGCCTAAATTTTTCTTTCTCGAGTGCTTAAATTTACACATCAATTCATTCAATTATTAATCAGGTAATCGAAGTCATTACACAAGAATCAATACAAATAAACTAGGAAAAATCAAAGGAAATAACTAGATTAGAGTTAAAACGTCTCAGATAGGCTACATCAAACTCTAGATCTAAGGATTTAGTACATAATTGAGTTGATTGACATAATCAAGTACAAAATAAAAGATATGGAAAAGAATGATAGAATTAGAAAAACTAGTTGTACTGCCACTTGAATTCTTCCCCCAATTGTTGTCAATCTTCCCTCGATTTCCATCTTCCTAGCCTCTTGAGCCGTCTCCTTCAAGCTTTTCTCTCCAGCCATCCTCTCTTCTTTTCTTCCCCCTTTATTAGGTCTTCAACCATGTATTTATAGTCCTAGCACGTTGCAGTATGAATTTGAAGTGGATTGGGCAGAAAATATTTTTAAGATTTCCAATTTCCGCTTACTTGCCGCAACGCCCAAGGCTGGCACCGTGGCGCCAGTCTCTTCTTCTCACTGGGGGCCGCAACAGCTCCCTGAAAAGCTTGTGTCTTGGCTGGGCGGCGGCGGCGCTAGCTTCTCCATGCGCCCATCTCTCTGTTGGGTTTGGTTCTTCATCTTGGGCATCTAGGTGAGCCAATACTGCTTTCTCTTGTTCCATTTATTTTAGCTTTTGTTCCGCTCCAATCTTCTTCCTTGTCTCTAATTCATGCCTTGAAATTGTCTAAGCTCCATTACAAGCCCCAAGATATGGCGTTTTCTTCGAAGTTTTCTAAGCTACAAAACAACACGAACATACATCAAAACGTTCAAAAGTGCTTAAGAACGTACTAAAAACCATGATTTTAGAGGCGTTAGTTTAATGAGTGAATTATACTCATCAACTAGCTACTCATGGTGCCGCCACCCCTTCTGGTGCTGCTGCTCTCCTCCCTCATCCCACTGCTACAGTGATTTTTGAGGCGTTAGTTTAATGAGTGAATTATACTCATCAACTAGCTACTCATGGTGCTGCCACCCCTTCTGGCGCTGCTGCTCCCCCCCCTCATCCCACTGCTATAGTGTCGCATGAAACAACATTTTAGGAGCGACGATGGAGCCTTTGCATGCTGAGGCAATATAGCTGGGACGATTTGTACTAGTACCAAATCCTAGGCTGTGGTGTTTTGCCGATTTGTGGTGCCTGATGGTTTGCGATGGCTGCTGCTGCAGCGGTGGTGTAGTGCGATGATGGTATGTCTGTGCTCTGCGTTGTGGTTTGGTGATATTTTTGTTGGTGCGGTGGTGATAGATCGGTGGTGGATCTGAAAAGGATTTGCTGGATCTGGTAGTGGGGGTGACTTTTATTGGTGGAGATGGTGGTGGTGGTGGTGAATTTGGCATGAATGTGTCAATGGCAGTTGTGGTTTCTGTAATTGAAAATGGTGGTGGATCTCAAAGGGGTTTGTTGGATCTGGTGGTGGAGGTGATGATGGTGGTGGATCTAGCATAGAAAGTTGTGGTTTTGTAGTTGAAAATGGTGGTTTATTAATAGTTGTGTTGGTGAGGTGGTAGTGGTGAAATTGAAAATGGTAGTTTGTTGGAAGTGCTGGGTGGAGGGTTTGTGGCCAGTTATTTGAGACCAGTAATTTTGATATCTTGTGTAACACTCCAACCCTCATGAATGGAAACGTCACTCAATTAGTTGTACCTTAGTTATAGACTTAGAGATTATTTAAAATAATAATTTAATTAACTGTGTTTTTAACGGAAAATGTAAGATTTAAATTCAAGAATTATTTTAACTCTAAACAACATCATTTTATATTAAGAGATCATCTAATAATTTCTTAGAAATATCGCTTTTGGGCAGTAGCAAAAATAGTGAAATGATACCAAAAAAATCTGAACAAAGTCTGTGCAATTCAACTGTTTACATGAACCATGGCATGTACAAAAAACCTAGGTAAAGCAATATGTTTTTTCTATTTTTTTTTTTTAAGAACATAATTCAATACTAAAAGAAACAAATTCAAAAATGTTTTTTTAATGGTTTTCATGCATGTATCCATTATTGATGTGAAATTATAGGCAAAATAAAAAAAAAATAAAAAAATTGATGTTTTGCTTTCTATCTCAAGCGGCAATTGTCAAAATAACTTCGTTTGCATAGCTATCGACTTTGAAACTTTATGAAATTTTATTTTAAAGTAGGAAACTTCTTATAATATGATATATCCAAAGATTAGCTTCCGTTGGCAACGAGGTACTAAAATATTTTTTAAAATCCTGCAGCAACTTAATTTGAAAGGTAACCCAGTGCAGTTTACTTAAAGTGACATATAAAATTCTACAAACATCGAACAACATGATTTCAACTTTACTCAATAACTAACCCATGAGAATCAAACGCCACTTGTTTTGTCCAAAAATTCCAAGTGACAATTGAGTTATGAATTTTTAAAGTTAAGGCAGAATTTGAAATTTTAAACAAACAACAACATTAAATCGTTAAATTTTTTTTTTCTTTTTTGTGGTAAATGGTGACTTGTTAGTTAATTTCTATAACACATACCCACTTTTAAATATAACTCATCCATTTAAATGGTCACAGAATAGCTCCACATAAGATGTTTATAGGAATCTATGTATTCAAAAAAAGTCATTTCATAATCGAATTAAAAACATTAAGTCACTGGCTTCTCCATAGCACGTTGCATCTTCATCTACTATCATTTGCTCCCATCAACCTGTAAGAAAGGAATTAATGCATGAGTTTGAAACTCAGTAGATATCATCGTTGCATTTTGTTATCAAATTAGAAAATTCGAACTATAGATTTATAACATCGCATGTAGATGGATTTCCAACGAAATTCGATTTCTATAAAATTATCATAACACATAGAGTAGGAGAATGATCATTCAAACTATAGTAGTGTCAAAGCACCGTACCTAAAGGTACCAATTCATTCAAATTTTTAACGGAAAATCATAATTTGAAAACGAAATAACTACTTGCACCTCTACCTATCTTAATTTGAAAGCTTTTGAATTTATAAAGTTGGATGGTGGATGTTGTTTCCGGACGGCACCCGAAACTTTAAGAAATCTGCTTTTTTCTTATGTTTTCTTTCTTTTTGAATTTTTTTCTTGTTTCAAAGTGTGAACCTTCATATGTGTAAACTATACATAAATATATAGTAGAAAGTAATATGAATTATGGGAAAAGAAACATTAGTCTTATAGTGAGTAAGTGTTGGTAGGTTATTCACAATTGATTGGAATTAAAGGAAATGTTTAATAGGGAAAATGAGTGGTTTAGCATGTGTAGAATCTGTTGGCACTATTCCAATTAAAGTGAATTTAAAATTAGTTAAATGGGTTATGTAGGTTTCATTCCTAAGTTTAGGTACATTGAAAACCTATAATACGCGTGTGTTTGGAATTCAAGCAAGGTTTAGGGTAAATTTGGGACTCCATTTCCTGTATTTCTACATTTTTTTGGTGCTATTACGTGTGTATATTTGGGGGTTCAAATGTGTTAATTATTCACCAATTTATGGAAGTGTTTCATGTTCTTTTTTAACATTAAATTTTTTTTTTTCACAAATGTATATACACCTATATATTTAAATTTGAGGAAAATAAAGTGGGTCATTAAATAAATTTTATTCTTGGTCCTTATAATTTATTTACTTGACAAGTTAAGAAAATATCAATTTTTATCCTCAAATTGAAGCTTATAAGTTCTCTTTTATGTCTCATTTTTAAAACTTATAATTCAGTCATTTAAAAAAAAAAAAAAAACAATGTGTACGCAAATCAAATCTTTTTCACCGCTAGGTCAAATCTTTGGGAAATATTAGATTCTGTCCTACTTTATTTTAAAATTTTATAGAAAATATGCATGATTGCTTGTGAACTTCCATGTTGTCAAAATTGTTTAAGACATATCAAACTAGTATTGAACTTTCATTTTTTATGTGGGCCGAGCATAAGATTTGTTATTGGGCTAGGTTTGAAATGCTAGATCATCACATAAAAATATGAGTCTAATTTCATTTTATTTTTCGTGCTTCTACATCTTGTAATGACCGATAAATTGTGAGCAATAAAAGTTATAATTTTGTGACCTATGAATAATATTTTACCTATAAAATTTTTGATTTATGATCGAAAAATAAGTTGTCACCAATAATTTGATAAGTTGTGTCCAAAAATTAATTTGTGACTAATTAATTAGTTATTTTGTACCATAAAATAAGTTGTAACTCATAAAATTTATGATTTGTGACTAATGAATAATATGTGACCTATTAATTCAATAAATTTGTGACCTATTAATTTACAACTTGTGACCAAATTGTATAGAATTGTGACCTCAATATATTTAATTAATAAAATATATGCTTAATTAATTAGTTTATTAATATTAAAAAAAATTGATTTTTGAAATTTTAAACTTTGCTTTTTAATTTTGAAATGTTACATACTTAGTCTCTTATATATGAATTTTTCCCTTTAAAAATAAAGGCCCATCACTCATCAGCAAAGGGCCAAAGCTAAAAAAATAAAAATAACCTAGTTGACATTCATCTTCCGGGGCTTCTTTCTTCCACAATTTTGCCTCTGCAACTGCAAGACTGTCACAGCGCCCGGCTACTACTGAAAATTTTGGCGGAGCCGCACGCACGGCCGCGCCCCCTCTTTGGATGCTGGCTCTGCCTCTGGTTCCAGGTTATTCTATAATGGTTTAAGACATGCATCCTTTCTATAGTTAAATGGAAGGCATAAGAAAGAAGCTGACATCCTTCTCTTTGCACCACCTCTATGTTGCTTTATTGTCACCATACCTTTCCTAAAATTCCTCTCCTACCTTTCTCCAACAACTTTAACAATTCTTGAATATAGATGAATTAATATGATAAGCACAAAAAATGTACAACCACTGCTGTATAAAAGATATCATGTCAAAAAGGAAGCATCAAATCAGCATCCGATGGTGGTCACTGAGTGTCACATAGCTGATTTGAAGTCTTAAATATGAACAGAATGGGGCAAAAATTTGTGGAAATCACGTATCAATCATACTTAAATTATGGAGATTGTAATATTTGTAGTGAACATTAGGGTTCGAGTTAACTAAAGTATGTCTATTTTTTCGTTCCGCAACTCTATTTTGTTGGGGGTATCTACACAAGAACTCTGGCGAATAATTCCATTGTCTTGGAGATATGTTTTTAGTGTACTATTGAAATATTCCGTCCTCTTGTCTGTCCGCAAAATTTGGATTTTTGTTTGGAATTGGGTTTGAACCATTGAGTGGAAGTTTATGAAGACACAACGGACATCGATTTTTTTTTTTAGCATATAAACCCAACAAAGTCTAGTCTAGTCGTCGATAAATGTGACAAACCACTTTGTGTGGGTGCGATTAGGGGTTCGAGAGGGTCCCCGTAGATCACTGTGTATTAAGGTGATGGTCGAGATGGTTTATACACAGATTTTTTGAATGACAAATGATGATGTTTTGCAAGTTCACAAATGTCACATCTAAAATTGAAAAGTGTTTTATTCGAAAATAATGAAGGAAATACATGTCTCAGATGATGAAAATTGGGATGACCTATTCTATAATGCCATAAAAGAATGTCACTATTCTTGGGGATGAAGACAGAATCACAACTAGCAAGTTGACTTTGTTGACTCGCATTAGTCTCATCAAAGTAGTAGAGTCCCTCATATTCTTTAGCACTGTCAATTGTCTTCCTCGATAATAGGTCCTGAAAGACACAGTAAGAAGAGAAAAAATTAGCGGAGCAATTTGAACTTTTTGTTAATTGACTAATGGATAATAAATTGCATGATAGGTTTAGGACATGCAAAACATTTTCGAGTGTGATTAAGTTAGAGATTCGAATACTCCCTTTTCCAGCCACTGGGGATAGAGAGCCGTCAGCAATTTTGACTTTAAGATTTCCAGCACAAGGTGAGTATGAGATAAAGAGGTGGTGTGAGTCCGTCATGTGATCGGACGCACCAGAGTCGATAATCCAAGGTGTTTTTGAGAGTAAGGCAATGTTAAGGCCTCTCAAGATATTACCTCTATGAGCTAAAGAACTCGAGGAGCTGGATGATTGGAAGTTGGAGAACATTTTGCGGAGTTGTTCTAGTTGTTCAGGACTGAATACATTGTTGGGAGCGGAATTTTATACTTCAGATGAATTAGTTGTAGTTTGATAGCCTTGATTCCTAGAGCCTTGTCTTGGTTTCCAATCAGACGGCTTTCCATGTAGGTCCCAGCATGTATCCTCTTTGTGCCCAGGTTTCCGATAGTGTTCACACCACGGGCGATTACTCTGTTGCCTTGGGTCGAGTCCAATTCTTCTTGTTCCTCTAAGTACTTGGGCTCACAAATCAGGCCCACCATATTTAGGCCCATCATGTGGGCTTTTTTTTTTTTTGTCTTGGCTGCAATTCCTTAATCCCAATTTCATGAGGTCCAATTGGCATAATAGAGCTGACCCATCCATACGTTCATCAGGCCCAGTCCCTTCCTTCTTCAACATAATCAGACGCCTACTTTCCTCGCGTCGTACTTTGGCGAAGGCTTCCCGGGTGGTGGGCAGTGGCCGACGGCTGAGAATCCGGCCTCTCACGTCGTCGAGGTCTTTGTCTAAGCCAGCCAAAAATTCATACAGGCGCTCATTCTCTATTCTCTTCTTATACCGAACCCCATCACTAGGGCAATCCCATGTTTCATCCATACTCAGATCCAATTCCTGCCATAATGAGGTCATTTCCATATAATACTCGGTGACACTTCTTTCTCCCTGTTTTGCCTTCCAAAGTTTGGTCTTTATTTCGAAAATCTGGGATGCATCTTCCGCGTCAGAGTACATCTCCCGAACGCTGTCCCATATGTCTTTTGCAATCGCCATGAAGAGGCAGATTTTGCTGATTGACGGTGCCACTGAGTTGATGAGCCATGACATAACCATGAAGTTTTCTGATTTCCACTTTTGCTGAAGAACGGGATCTGCGGGTTGCTTTGTGTCGCCGGTAAGGCACCCAATTTTTCCTTTTCCTTCGACCACGAGCTTAATGGATTGAGCCCATTCTCTTAGTTTCTACCATTGAGTTTCTCGACTGTGAGTTGGAATGAGGAATTATCAATTCCAATTGACGCCATGGTGTGACCAGCTTCAGTCCCACTGGTTCCAGACTCAACAGTGGTTGAAGTTGTATTGTTGGCAGTAGTTTCTGCCATTGATAGCTGGGTTTGATTTTACCCTAGCTCTGATACCATAAAGAAGTGATGAAGAAACATTTTTTTATTTTTAATCGTATATAATTCTTACACTCCACCTTCAATATATATAACAACACAATGAATGGAAAAGGAAAGATAGTATTCTACCACAAATTATTTCCTAAATTAGTCCTAAATATTCCATACTATAAATATTACAATCTCCATAATTTAAGTATGATTGATACATGATTTCCACAAAATTGCATGCTGTAATCACCGTCTCAAACTTGACTAGGTAGCTACTTCTGCAATACATGCTGTCATTCATGGCATAAGTAGTTTTTGGCAATGATTGGTACGGGTATTGCTTCTGATTTCATTTCAATGCAATCTTCCAATTCTTACGTGTTTCTTTTTGTATTCTTCATTGCAGTGAGTTTGAGGAACTTGATACAGTCCCTACAAGTTCAGTGATTGAAGGGCCACTACCATCCTACACTGCCTCTGCTTCCGCAGATGTAAACCGTGACTATTCCTTTGTGAACTTCTTTAGTGTGAGTGACTAATTTCTGTCTTTAATTCGTTAACTTTCTGAGTACAGCATTTCCAGAGTTATGTATTATATTATGAGAATTTGTGCATTATATGCATCTTGATGGATCAGTTCCTGTTAGATGGGCCTCAATGATGTATTTACATGGCACTAAATATTCATATAACTCTTAATTCTTATTAGTTCGTACCATATTGAGTGGTATTTTTTTCCTCCAAATTCCACCATTGCAGAGAGCTATGCGTATTGGAGATGAGTCTTCAAAAGTCAAAAATCCTTCTCTCAACAATCCTCCTGCAGTTCCTCCATCCTCCCATGTTCTTGGTGTTGGTCCTTCCTCTCCAGCTTTGCTAGCTACACCACTTACAGTATCAGCTCCATCAACTGCTCCAGTGTCGTCCCTTCCTGCTGCTAGTGAACCAAGCAGTAGTGGTAACCGGGCTGTCAATCTAGTCAAGCCATCATCTTTCTTTTCACCCGCTTCAACATTTACCCCATCTATTCCAACTTCTGCTATTCATCTTCCTGTGAATACACAATGGCCACATGGTTCTTCAACGCTTCAACCTTTCCAACCTCCTAAGCCATCGGCATCTCTTACCCCCGATACCCATTCTGTTCCAAATTATGGACCTGTAAGCAGGGAAAGAGTTCGGGATGCACTTTTGATGCTAGCGCAGGTATCCTCAAGTCATTTGTTTGTGTACTTGTTTAGATTTTTGAAGGTGTATTTAATTTTCATCTGACATAGTTAAACAGCTAATTAGATGTTTAGTTTGCGCAGACGTATTTCTTTCAGCTTGCTGTATATACCCAATCATTTGTTTTTATTAAAGCCATATTTGTAAGGGAACCTCTGGTTCATAGAGTCTTAGTATTAAAAACTTCCAGTTTCTACTTGATGTTTGGAAGTTTTGGGGGACTACTTCCAGATAAATGTGAAGGTTTGTTAAATGCATTCAAATAATTGTTCAGCAAAATCTTGCAACTGTGTGTATAGGGCTACAAACTGCAATTTTTATGCCTTTATTTGGTTGTTCTTAAGGTACCTTGTATTCCAATTCGGTTTTCTTTAACTACGTTGAATTTGACCCAAGAGTTTTGGATTTTAAACTTGCCATGATAGGTGTTATTCAGATTATATGACTATGCCCTTGTTTGGGCTCCATTTTAATGAAAATTTGGGGAAAATTGAGTTTTGGAATAGTGGTTTTTTTGGAGAACATGTGGTTAAAAAATATGAATTTTTTTTTAATTTACGTGTAATATTATTTTATGGAAGATGTGCAGTTGAAAATGAGTTTTGGAAAAATGGGGGCCAAACATAGACTATATTTGTGGCTGGCTTCATTTTGCAAAAAAATGTTGTGGTTCTGATTGTCACCAAATAGGCTCAATGGATTTATTTTGGACCAAGGCAAATCTCATAGTTATGCAGTTAAATATAAGAAAGTTGCTGATCATATTTTAGTATTGACTGATTGATCCCTTCATATCTAAAAATTTGAAGTCACTTTTCTATCTTTTGCTTGTGGAGGCAGCTTTGCTTCCTTATTTTACTTTAGGTTCGGATCAATTTGCGGATATAGAATGAGAAATATGCATATAATCACCTAAATGAAATGCAAATGGTACGAAGTTTCTTCTTTTCTTGAATTCCATGGGGCTTATGCTATACTTGATAGGAATGTTACATATTCGTATACTCTTGTTTGAGAGTGTCTCAATGTTTCTCAAAAGTTTCTTCACTTTTTATTTGCCATGTGGCAGGACTATCAATTCATCGACATGTTTTACAAAGCGTTGCTGAAAGTGCATGAATGATGATAGCTTTAACAGTGATGACACCATTGTAAATATAAAATTTCACAGAAGGATCAATTTGTACATATCTGTGGCATTGTTTACATGAAATGGCACAGAAAGGGCTGCGTCTTGCTTGGTACAGTTTCTTTCTATTTAAACATCTCCATCGTTTTGACTTCTGTGCTATGATGAAATTACACACCTCAGCATTGAAATTTTCTTGTTGATTGTAATTCAGGTGGGGTCGATGTGTCTTGGAATTAGCATCGGTTGGAAAGAGAGATGTATATGAAATTTTATTTCATCTTTTAGGGTGGAATCTAGTGTGCATGGCAGTTCCATAATGCAAATTCCTGTTTGCCTTTTGTATGAAATTGGGATTTTGACAATTCAAGCGTTCTCAAATGATGTTGAACCTAGTAGGTGAAAGAATAACTGTGTATTCATTTCACCCCACCCCCCACGTAATCGTTCCTACTTCCTTTAGAGTTTCAGTCGGTTAGTCGCATTATACAACTTTATTCTGAGATACTTGTTTGCTTGGTCGAACAAGCGACAAACTTGCCAAGGTGCTGGGATAAATGCTTCTTATCATTAAAGCAAAGGTACTCGACTTACAATTGTAGCAACTTGCCAATGCCTGATCTGATTGATGGTGACTATATGGATCATTAAAAAATCATCTTAAATTCCCCAAAGATTCAAGTGACCATTAGGTGTGTTCTATGGGAAAAAAAATTCGTGGAAAATGGCCTTTTTGTACTTGAATTTCAATTTTTTGAGTGTTTGATTGTCCTTTTTTCTATGGAAAATATTTTTCGACCTTTGAAAATATGTGTAGTTTTCCTTTCTGAAGACTAAGTCTAGTAGCCTTTCCACCTAGTCAACGGATGGATAGAAGCGTGCAAAAATTTCAACGGTTTTTCTTCATATTCAACAAATTTCGTTAATAATTTTTTTGTCATCCTCAACAATAAATTTTTAATTCATTTAGGAGTTAATCCTTCGTTTGTGGTCGACGTTCCGACTTTGTCAGGTGATAGTTGACTGTTTCAATTTGGTTTGATTTATGATCGCATTTAAAACCTTATCTTGTGGCCCATTATTGAGGAATATGTTTTCTTTGGAGAAGTTAGATTCTTGTTTTCCTCGAAACAAGGAAAACAACTTTTTCTTTAGGCATATTTTTCATGTTAATCAAACATATCCATAGAGAAATTAACTCAGATGAGATTACACCTTTTTTGTGAAAAGCTAAAAAATTATTCACCACCAAGTAAAAATTGAAGGGAAGATTACCTAGAAACTTGAATTTAAAAAATAGTTTTCATAAATAAGAGGGATTAAGTTTCATTTCATAATTCATGTGGTAATTAAAAATTATTAAATAAATATATTCCTAATGATTCAACCTACCGACACCTAACTCCCACACCCCGCTCTCGCTCGTTCTCTCTCTCACTCTCGTGTTCTCGTTGTTCTCTCTCCCTCTAGAATTGGATCGCCCCACCACCGATGCTTGTCCCATAGCCGCTATAATACCATTCTATCGTGACACTTCTCCTTCGCAGTCAAGTTCTCATGCACCGTCACCGCCTTGTACTGAGAATCGATTCGGTCGAATTTCTTCACCGCCGGCAATTCCATCTGTAGTGAAGGCTTCCTCTTGGTCAAATTTCTCGCCTTGGGTAATGTAAGGTCTATAATTGGAGTGTTAGGTTGATTTTGACCCAAATCTATGGATTCCGAGCTTGGAGAGATGTGTTTTCACTTGATTCAAAAATCGAGGTTGTAAATTTTGATTGAGTGGATTTGTTGATGTTACAAGACCATGAATAGGTGCCCTGATGAGTATAGTTGACCGATATTATGGAAAGGGCATGGGTCTCGCCGAAGAAGGTGATTTTTGCCATCAATTCTAGCCAAATCTGGTGGCGTGAGGGCTAGTGTTGGGTTATGTATAGAGGGGAGTGAGGCTATCCAATAATATGGGATTTCGTCGATTTTGATGGTGGTTGGTCAGAGTTTTTTGTTCAAGCAATCGAGCATGAGATCTTTTCAAGCAGTGGTAATGGTGCGGTTGTGATGGTTTTGTTGGATATTGTGGTGACTGATTTTTGTTGGTGGCAGTGGCGGTGGATATGGTGGTTGGGGCGATTTTTGTTGGATCTGGTGGTGGCGGTTTTGGTTATGGTGCGGTACGGTGAGGTGATGCCAGTGGTGGAGGTGGTTAGGATTTGTTGAAAGTGATGGTGGTGTGCATTTGATTGACGTTGTTGGGTGTGGTGGAAGTGACGACAAAAATTGAGTATGATCAAATCTATCTTCATTGTGACTGTCTGTAACCAGATCTATAATAATTGTGACTGTATGTGATTTGGTTATATATAGTCACAAATTAAATTGATATGATCACAGATAATCACATTAAAGACAAAATTTGTCACAATTAATCATAGATAACAAAGGCCAATGAATGTAGTAAAGTTGAAGGTGAAGGTGGTAGTGACTGGTGGTGGATTGTGGTACTACGTTGCGGTGTGTGAAGATTTGTTTATGGTGACGCTTTGAGATCAAGTATGTGTTTATTATGGGACTAATTCTGTAGTAACTGTGATCGATTGTGACTTGACCACATATCGCCACAATAAATATTGAATTGGTCATAGACAGTCACACTGAATACAAATTTGGTTACAATTAGTCATAGACAACACATGTTAATGACACACTGACTTGGTCACAGACGGTCTGGTTTCAAGTAACACAGGTATGGTCACAAACTATAAATCTGGTTACATATAACACAGTTAATCATAAAACTCGTCAACTACAATATAATATTAATGCCATCACACAGTACTCAAAACATTGCCAACACCTCCCCACCACCACCAAACAGATTAACTGCAGTGCAACTTCATTATTTCCAATGCTTTATCTCTACAACTTTGTGAGTGATTTTCGAAACTGTCGTCGGGGTGATTGTCAGAACAGCTATCGGAGCTATTGCCGGAGTTGATGGTCGTCTCCGGTGGAGAAGTAGAGGGAAAGTAGTGTAGTGGGGTGATAGGATGGGGGTACGTAAGGTTGCATGGGTGGAAATAATGAATGTACATTATATTATATTATAACATTTAATAAATTAATTTACCACCTGATTTTTGAAATAGTTTAATGAGTTTGTTATTTATAAAATGTAATCTTTGAATCTAGGAATTATGTTAAGATCCTAAAATTGAATTATATGACGTCTTTTATATGGGTCTGTTTACAAATATATACGTGGATCTTAAATAAAGCCCAATGGGCCTCTTTTCTAGTTCCATTTAAAAGGCGATCGTTCCCCAACTCTTCGTGCAGACTTCTCTCTCTCTCTCTCTCACACACACACACACACACAATCAGGTGAAAATGGCGGCCCTAAGAAAACTGGCGAATAACATAATATTAAGTGATCTCAGGAAATTTAATTCGAGCATTATATTAGCATCAACATGCTCTTCTCTTTTCATTTCTTGCAGAGGCATAGCTTCGAAGCTCTTCGTTGGAGGTACACCCAAAATATGCACAACACTAAAGAAATATGGAGTTAATGAATTTTTTCTTGCTCATTCAAAAGAAAATTGTTAGGTTTTATTAATTTTGTCCTACGCACTCTTTTAGTTTTAGTTGATTGTTTATTTTGTTGGATAAGTTTCTTCAAAACCTGGCCTGTACTTAATTACATCATAATTAATTCTTATGCATAGGTGTTGAATTAGATTAATAAATAAGTGTATGAAAATTGCACTGGAATATCCCCCTTTTTAAATAGGAAAAATAATCTACAATTTTGTGCCAATATACAAGATCATATAATGATTAGATGTCACCATATGTACCTTTAGATGATCTCTTAATGTGGCCAACACCATAGCCTGGAATTCTTCTAAAATTTGAAACTCTTATTGCAGTCATGGATTATTGGTTTTACTTTTATCATGTTATGTGCTAAAAGAAACCTTTGTTCTGCATTGGCTACTTATGATTGGAGGGGCTGCCTCTTTCTAAAGGGTTGCGTACTTTTTTGATGCCACCTACCTTCATTACCTGTACTCTTAGTTTGACATACCTGAGCATGGATTAGTGAAACAAGGATGTTGCTTTGAGATGTATTGAAGCATCGTAGTAGTATTTGTTCTTTGAAATGATCAAAGATAAGACTAACCTAACTGTGGCATGTATCCATGTCTCAATTTCATGCATAATTCACTTCTTCCTGTCATTGTGATGATGGATTGGTGGGCATTGGTGAGAGTCTGTCTGCCAATTCATAGAGTTGAAAGATATAAGCTAATTGTACACATCTTGATTCCATTTACGGGAGCCCTAGATTCGGAATAGGATATGGCTGCGGTGAGGAGTGGTTGGATAGGGAGAACCATGGTGTGTACACTTTTGGCATATCGTCATGTAAGGAAGGTATCTATTATGGAGAAGCACTTGAAAATGTAATTGGAATTGGTGGTGTGACTTATTCTGCAACTAGCTTCATGATCAATTCATTGAAAAATTGAATTCGTGTTGACATATTTTCCATTTGGAAGCTAATACTTTTATTTTGAAAACACCAAACAAATTAAATATTTTTATGCGCACTATTGATCTCATTCTGTTTTTGAATGGTCATGACTTCAATCTGATCATTGGTTACTTTACTTGGAACAAATTGGGACTTTCTTTCAACTATATTTTTGTTGCATAGCAATAAATATCATAAGTATTATTTATAGTATTCAATTATTATTTTGTTTTTGCGCTTTTATGTTTGGCTAATGTTTATAAACACTTGGAGTAACTTCTAATCCACACATTTTGATGGTCCTACAAGTACTACCCTCCTCTTCGTCACTTATTTATATCTATTTATAACTTAAACCATTTATAAACACTTCCCAAACATGATAGCAGGTGTGCTTTAGCATTGAGCTAGAAAATAATTACAATAAAGCAGCTTCAGTCTTCCGTTGGATTTAGCTTAGGTGTTTAATATCAATTTGCAAATGGAAACTTCTATCTTGCAGGAATTTCATTTCATACCACAGAAGAAGGACTATCTGAGGCATTTTCCCAGTATGGCCAAGTTATTGAAGGTTTATTGGACTACCAATCTATTTATTTATACTTTTTCACATAACTAGTACAAAATGTATCCACATCAGTCCAACATATTCATTTTAACAGCTAAAATTGTGACGGATAGAGTATCAGACAGATCAAAGGGTTTTGGATTTGTAACCTATGCAGCTGAAGATGAAGCCGAGAACGCGATTAAAGAAATGAATGGAAAGGTATTTCCTGCCTTGTTTTTGTTTTGACATTTGTTATTTTTAACTTATTAACACAAGTTCAACCGTGCTGCAGCCACTAAATGGACGTGCTATCTTTGTCGACTATGCAAAGCCGGGATCACACTTTAGAGGTGGGATGCCAATAGCTAGAGGACCACCTGAACCAGCATCAGAAAATTGATCCCTAGTCAGTCTCAAAGACAATGGCAGATTCAGATACTTGCAGCCATGAAAGCTTTTTCTCTGTGACTTATTTTTTATTTTTCTTTTTTTGGGTACATGGTTCTATGTTGAAGTTTCACTACTTGCATGTTTAGTGAAGGGGTTTTAACAATGATGAACTATGGATTTTTCTGATCAACATTGTTCACTATGTTAAATTTACAATTAAGCCCTTCCTCTCTAGAAGTTCCTAATAATTTTAAACTTGGAAAAGTTGGACCATCAAAAAAATTATGTTTATATATATAATTAAATAGTGTATCTTGATTGATTGAATACATTATTGCTCCCTAAAGACATCCCTTCACCTAATTCTTAACTGTACCCTGAAAACGCCAGAATAATGCTAAAAGAGTAGATACCCAAAATGCCACGCAGAACAAATCTAACGCCACATCTCTCCTCAACTTTCTCTCTCTTCTCTCTCTCCTCATTTCCACGAACTTTTTATACCTCATTTGCCCTTCTTGTAATCCGGGTTTTCGCCCTCCTTTCTTGCCCTCCAATGCTCTCTGTAGAATGACCAAACTGTCCTTCCCAATTAAATGCATTCCATCTCTGTCCTCTATTTGTAAACTGACTTCCTTTCCTTGCATGTCCCCTCCTTCCGACACACCGCACGTGACCAAAGTCTCGCACTGTACGTGACCATGATCAACGGTCAGGATTGTAGCAAACCGCACCTGCATTTCTCCAGTCAACCAGTGGCGTTGTACCGTAACAGGCTTGTGAGATGAGAGGTTCACTGCTCGCCGTCCAATCGGGTCGATCAAAATCCAGCTGAGTGTCATGTGGTTGATGATTGTCGTACACGTGTCACCCTCTGGGTGCTTAATGGGTGTGGGGACCACGTCCTTCGGCTCCAGCAGATCAATCCTGAAGGGTGAGCACCGGAACCACCCCGTCACGGTTTCCGTTTCTTGAACTTTAGTGAAGATCAATTGGTCTTGGTAGCGTATATCAACGGCTGATATCAATTCTGATGGCAGTGGTGCTGATGGGGATGAAGGGCTGAGATTTTTTGCAGTAGTAAGCTCTACCAGGAGAGGGAAGGCGTTGGCAAAAAAACTACGGGGGCCACCATCTGGGAAGGTGGAGATGAAGTGGTTGACACGTTGAGAGCTGGTGGAGGGCCACGTGGAGTGGCACATGTTAGACCACAAGTTGTTTTGGGAGGAGAGGTGATGGAGAGTGGCGGAGCAGCAGCTGAGTGTGGACAGAGATACTCCGTCTAACCGTTTTAATATGTGGGATTCTATTATGTCCGGGTGAAGATTGGAAAATCCGGCTGTGGTGAAGTCTTGCTCCGCCGTGGTTGTGGCGGCAGAAGGTGGCGGTGATGCTTCTGGGGAAGAAGAAGAATTCATACTTAAGGTTTGTAGCATGTAATGAAACTTCAGTAGTGCTTCTAGTAGTGAAAAGTTTATATATGAGTTCTCCAGATATGAATTTACGAAATTACCCTTGTTATGTTTTATGAATGTCAGTTGATACGAGTCAAATTCAACTCCCAAGACAAAAAAATTCCTCAAACCTGATATCAACCCGATTTTGCGCGGAAGAGTTGGGGATTTATCCCCCGAGGGCTTGTATGAGTAACAGAGGCCTCGTTTTTTTTTTTTTTTTTTTTTTTTTTTTTTTTTTTTTTTTTTTTTTTTTTTTTTTTTTTTTTTTTTTTTTTTTTTTTTTTTTTTTTTTTTTTTTAAGAATTCAGTGCTTCAAATTAAGAAACTCCACGAATTTTTTTTAATTCTAATAGAATATAACAATTAAGATTATTTAAAAAAATATGATAAACAATAAAAATTTTAGTTTACCATATATATTCGAATAATTAACTTTTAAAAATAAATTAATTAATTAAAAATTTTATTAACTATATTATTGTCTCACTTTAATAAATGTGGACAATAAAACGAATCATAAAAAAAAAATTTTTAATTAAATGGGTATGGAAATGGGATAAGAGCCCCTATATGCCCCCCTCCACCCCACCTTGCCTTGAACAGGTAAGGAAATTGCCCGATAGTTCCCCTGTCCTGCTTCAATCGTGTCTCGTTGTCATCCCTACCTAGCAATGATAGCCAAGGGTAGTTTGGGGATCTTAATCAGTCCTTATGTAATTGGGAAATTGCGTACTCCATGGGGTAAACATTTTTAATTATACTCACTAAACAATTTTAATAACCGGCTTTTGAACCCTAACCTTGTATTAATCTATCAAATGTCATAATCGTACTAGAAATTGTTAATTATAAGCTGGACCGAACGCACGTCAATGTCTTAAAACTAGTCTTATTTAGTGTAAACATGACGTAAGTTTACTAACTACGCATTGAAAAAAATCACATATACATAAGCTAGTTTAAAATTAAGATTATTATGTGATATTATTGAAAGAGCAACGCTGTTTGTAAGCCACATTTATCCATCAGTCGTCTATACAAAGGTAATCGTCACATTCTCAAATAAATTTCCGCATGCATTTTAATTCTTGTTTGGCCTTCATTTTTAACCATATATTTCATAAAATTCATAAATATTTTTTAATTAAATGAAATGTGACTTAATTTATTAAAGATATAATATTGTCACACCATGATTGATATAAGCGACTTAGAAATAGCATTAATCTCATTTAAAATAACTTCGTTTTCAGCCTACGTCAACGAGATAATCAATTGATGCCAAAGTTCTGGATGACTACCTACCATTAATCATAGCAATTTGATTGCTAATTGGGACCCTCATTGTTATATTTATTAATGAGCGTTGAAACTTTTGTTGGGTTTGTGATCCAAATTAGGGTGGATTTTTTCTAAAAATAATTTGTTTTCTTATTTTTATGGGGGAAAATTTATTTCCTTATATTTCACATGATTTTTATGAAAATATATTATTTCATTATTCCACATTATTTCCATCTTTATGTTATGCCATGTACCTATAAATAGCGATTTTCTCTTTCAATTTTGTTTAAGCATGAATTGTTGACTTCTTATATTTCCCTTCATATTGTCGAATAAAAAACGTCGTACTTCTGCGATTAACTCTCATTATCAATTTCTTTACTTTTAAATCTTGTTTCTCATTGTGATTTTCATTACTTCATATCGCGACATTAATTTCATTCACTACAATCCTTCCGAGTCTAACAAGTGGTATCAGAGCTTGGTTCATCTTCTGAGGATTGGTTGAGGTTTTTTCAAAGATGACTACCATGAAGTATGACATTCTGTTGTTGGATCGTAATACAAGGTTTTCTTCGTGACAAGTAAAGATGAGAGTTATTTTAGCGCAGTTGAATTCGGATGATGTGTTGCTGGGCTTTGAAAAGATGCCAATTAATTGGACAACGGAAGGATTGAAAAGCTTTGTCGTTGATTCATCTTCATTTATCCAACAATATTCTGCAGAATGTCTTGAAGGAAAAAATAGCAACTGCTTTGTGGTTGAAACTGGAGTAGTTATGTATGACCAAGAGTCTTACCAGTAAACTGGCTCTAAAGCAAAAACTGTATTCTCATCGCATGACGGAAGGAGAGTCGTTGAAAGAATATGTTGTTGTGTTTAAAGAAATTGTTGCAGATTTGGAGACGTTTGAAATTAAGTACGATGAAGAGGATTTTACCTTGATCATATTATGTTCACTGCCAGGCTCTTATGCGTCGTTTCGGGAAACCATTTTGTATAATCGGGGTACTTTGACTATGGACGACATCTATGATATTTTGCACTCAAATGAGAAGTTGACGCATTTGATTGGAGCTACATCAAAGGATGATGAAGCTCTTATATCTTATGGTGGTTGACGAATGGGCAGATCGAAGAATAACAACAATTTATTTTGCTTCTACTGCAGAAGTAAGGGACATATTCAGAAGGATTGATATAAGTTGTAGGCTAAAGGTGATTTATTTGCAAATCTTGGAGCGCAACCTTTGACTTCAGACGAAACAAATGCAGTTGAGGATTTTTCATACGTCGGAGATGTGATGTTGACCATGGTATCTAACATGGAATCTAGACGGACTGGATTCTCGATTCGGCATGTTCACATCATATGTGTTCCAATCGAAATTTTTTTGACATATGAGGCTGTCAAGCTTGGTGGAGTTGTGATGGGAAACAACCAGTCTTGCCATGTTGATAGAATCGGTCGTGTCAGATTAAGGTTGTAGGATGGGACAGTCAAAACAATTGATCAGGTTCGAGATGTTCCGACCTAAAAATGAATTTCATCTCACTTAGTACTCTGGATGCAAAAGCGTATAAATTCTCTAGTGGAGGAGGAGTTTTGAAGGTACGAATGAGTGTCCGATTTGTATTGGAGGGACAGAAGAAGTCTCGATTGTACATCTTGCAGGGAAGCGCAAAACCAGTTAAGAGACATTGGGACAAGTTCAGTACCGTGGTGGATGTTCGGTTTGGTATAGTACCTCTTGTGATGGGCTCTAGTTCGGTTCAGAATATTGTTCAGGGGAGCATTGGTAACACCGCTTTGCCACCAATTTAGTGGACACATGTATTCATTTGCTAGGGTTGGACTCATTGAGCGTAAGTATCGTGATGTCAATAATGTCTGGGATGCTTTCTGGGGAAGTTGAAGGCAACAGTTCTAGCAATGGACCTTTTAATCGGTGTGCTTCAACCCTATTTGGTCAACAGTAATTCCTCGGTGGAATTTTGGGAACCCTGGATTTCGGTTCAGGTGTCGCTTGTGGACGCCTTGCAAAGGACGACGGTTTGGTTTGGAGAGTTTTGGTTATTGTGTTGAGGAGATTGACTATTTCATTGCAGACGAATTTGAAATCTTGGAGTTCCGTTTGTTGCACCAGAATTTGGGTCAATGTGGAGATTGTTGGGTTTGTGACCCAAATTATGATGACTTTTTTTTTGGAAATAAATTGTTTCTTTATTTTCATGTGGAAAAATTTGTTTCCTTATATTTCACATGATTTTTATGGAAATATATTATTTCCTTATTCCACATTATTTTCATCTTTATGCTATGCCATATACCTATAAATAATGGTCTTCTCTTTCAATTTTATTTAAGCAAGAATTGTTGACTTGTATGTCTCTCTATATTGTCGATTAATAAAACGTTATGCT